GCCCACTCATCTGTCCTACACCAGCTTAGCACAGTCAACTACCCGTGTGCCTGTGCACACTGACTGCTACTCAGTACTATTTACACTGTCTACTGAGAAAGCAAGTGATGGAGCAACAGGCTAGAAAGAAGGCAGCTGAGTTCAGGAGATGGAGAACTACACAGGATCTGGCTTCAGACAGCAAGTAGTGGAGGTAACACTCCAGTGGTCAAGCTAATGAAAGACAAATTCCCCTTCCTTCAATAGCCTACTGCACAGTCTATTCACTGTACTCCAAAACAGGATACGAACTTTTCACCACACGAAGGGCTTAATTGAGAACATAAAATATTGCTGAACAAGGTAAACTGGGACCTGTCTGCCCTAGAGGGGTGCTGGGGAGAACTTAATTGCAGAGAAACATAACGCAAGTGGTGAGGAGATGTAGACTTCTGCACCTACATTTAATTTGACAAAGGAGTTCAGATGTCAGAGCCATCAGGTAGCATTACAAAGAGGCCTTATCAGAATTTAACCTGAAATGATCCATCAAGAGAGATGTGAGTAGGTTAGGTGCCTTCCTCTCATTTCACTGAGATCACAAATCTGCTGTAGGGAATGCCTTGATGTTGATAACGTGATCATCAAGCATACAGCTCTGTGAAGAGATGGTAACATACACAGGTATCAAAGAACAGAGCCCTCAACTAGAACAAGTCCTAAAGTACTCTCTAAAAAAATTCATAGTCCACATTACGAGGACAGCAACACCCTTCCTCTCTCCAATCACTTCATTAGCCTTTACCTGTGACTCTTGCTGCCCTGGTCTCAGCTACACAGATACACCAACCTGGGTTTGTCCTCCCCTGCATTTTTCCATTTGGAACCATGACATGTGACATTTTAGAGGACTCAAAATTAAAAAGAACGACATCCTAGTCTAAATGCAATAGTGGAAACAACATAGAACAAACGATCATGACTGCTGTAGCCAGCCTGAGCGAATGCCTGCCTTTCCAGCAGCCGTCCAACCACCTACACACTGGCAAATAGGCTTCACTGCTGCCTTGTAGGTTCTGGATGAATTTTTTGTCTCATCCTCTGCTGTGGCAGTTTCTTAGCTCTTTGTTTCCCTCACCTAAACTCTTGCATTTGCAGGTATGAGCTCAACAACAAAATATGGCTTAGAGCTAACCCTCGCAGAGGAACAAACCCCTTGCGCTGCCCAACAGGGAATTTGCCTATTCTGTCTTCATGATAATGCACAAACAGCATGGCTGTCATTATTAAAAGAGCGTGGTAACAAATCTACAGGCAGAACACGCAGTATTACAGGCAGCTCCACAAACTTCCTTACATCTCTGAAAGCTTATAGTCTAAAATAAATACCTACCTGACCCACCATTCTTGATGTCTAGTGTTCAAAATGTCATCGCTGGGAAAGTCCATAGAGGATAATATGAGGTGAAAGGAAATCACTACCCATCCAAACATTTCTAAAAGCACTTTGTTGGTGTTGAAAGCAGCTGTAGGTACTTTCAGGTGCTTTTTGGTGTGTCTGTGGTGCTAGGGCCCATGTGCTGGAAATCACAGCATGAGATTAACTGTTTAGCTAATTAGAATGAGATTAGCTAACATATATTTTCTTTCCAAGCACAGGGCTATGGAAGCAGTGCCTCTATGGTCCAAAGTCCTGCAAAAAATCATGGACTGTAGGGAGTTACTTTTCTATAAGCATATAGAATAATTGCTTTGTAGCCAGAATCTCTGATGTGAAAATGAGTTTTTCTTCTAATTTCATTGTTCCTTTTATTAGGACACGCACTACTCCTTGTCCCAGCAGGCAAAGTCATGCATCCACCAGAGGTGACCTTTGAGGAATGACCGCATTTACTTATCTATCTGTTGTACAGGATATAAAACCTGCCTGCTGTTTTTCAGAAAATAGCATTCAACATTCTAAAGAGTCTTATTATACTTATTTTAAACTATGTTAATAGCACCTAATAGGGGGACCAGAGCTGAACCTGTTTGCAACCCGATCACTTGTGGGGTGAAACTTTATCATTGAAACACACAACTTGAGTGACTTGGCTCTCAGGACAAGCAGCAACGTATCTTTATGCTGTCTAGTCGTTTTGACCGTAATGACAAGTGAATGACATTATCTGGTGATGATCACACTTTCTTCTGGACAAATCTGAGCACTCGGGTGAACATTAAGCTAATTTGATACACATTGATTGAGGATGAGGCTAGAGACAGTCATCTAGTTTCTCTGTGCTTCAGCTTCCCATTTTTAAAATGGATATAATATTACTTCAGGGGTGATGCAAGGACAAGTGAGTTCAAATTTGCAAAGGTTTTCACAACTGTTACTGACTGAACGGGAGCAGCTCTGATACGGCTGTGATACTGATCGGGACAGCACACAGTGCAGGCTTCCGCCTAACACCACATGCAGCAAGCTTCAAAGTGCTCTGTGCCCAGGGGGTGGCCTACAACCCCGTAAGCCCCACCAGAGAATATATATCTAAGAGTTCTTCTTTATACTTGTTTCTCATTTTTAATTAATGCTCTATATACAACTATACCTGAGAGCTACAGATATAGGCAACTCCAAAAAACACAGCCACCTTTATTGTATAGCACTAAGTGATCTTGAATTTAATCTCTAGTGCTACCTTAATCCAGAAAATCATCACAGTTCACATCATTGCATGTTGGGGTTCTTCATCTAGACAGATTTTCTGATTAAAATTAGACTCCATTCCCAGCTAGTGGTAGAAGAACAGATCCATATTTACAGGTTGGTTTACTCATTCTAGTGAAGATTTGATAACACAATTTACCTCCTGATCTCCTGAAATAATATTTAGCATCCAACTCACACCACCCATCCAACTGGAAAGGTAAATATATCAACATTTAGACACATAAACATGCCTATAAACATCTCTGCTATTAGGTCAGTGCTAACCTACCAACTACAGAGTGTTTTCATGGTACATGAAGACCCTTAGCTTACAATTAGATCTGCATAGAATGAATCAAGAATTAATTCCTACGAATAACCAGGCAGCTCTAATACAGGAATTATTTCAGTTATTTCAGTGGAGCTGTCCTGAGCTGCACCAGCTGATGCATCAACTCGCTGCAGTTACTTATGGCTGTAAAACTGCTGAATAAAAGGCTCCAGAGAAAAATGTCCCCGCACATTATTCAATTATTTCAAAAGTAGCACTGTAAATCAGCAAGGCTATCTACACTGGATTTTAGACTGAGCAGATTCTTAGCTTTGTGTTAGTCCATTAATGGCAGGGAACAGCTGTGGTGTGACTACTCTGTGTATTTACTACAACGTTTGGAAAAGCATCTTACATGCTGCAGATAGCATTGCTCTGTAGCTAGGCTTTGTAATAAGCAGTTTTGCTTTGCAAAGATATATGAGAGCTATAAACAATGATAATACCTGAGGTTCATCTTTTATTATTTTTGCTTCATATCAAAGCAAACTCAAGCATATGAGTAAATACAAGAGGCAATAAAAATGGGGAGCAGAATACAGGAGGCTCTTATGAATCAAATTAATAAAATAATGTAAATCTATGCCTACACTGTTATGCTGATGTATGCAGATTTCTTTTGTTCATTTACGATGCCACTGGGTTACTTATTGATATCCACACTAAGGTATCATCCCCCACCAGGCATTAATGATTTGCTCAGGTAAGTGCTGCAGTCTAAACACAGGCAGCTGCAGTGATGCTCACATCTAGTTACTCCGGAGCACAGACTTCTTTTTGAACTCCTGTCCCAACAATCTCTTGTCACCATAGCAGTCCCCCATTGGATGTCATGATTGATGCCACCTCCAAACATCCCAGCAATGGAGGCAAAATTCAGCTTTGCATTGGTGGCAGGATGAGAATGGCAGAGTGTGGGTGGGGTGAGGTGTCTTGCTGGGAGATCCATGATTTTCAAAGACTCTGGTTGGAGAGTAGTTGGGATGTTGCAGTGAAGATGAGCAAGGGAAGCGAGTGTTGGTGGCGAGAGTGGGAAGAGAGATGCCAGGAAGCTGTTGGGAGAGGAGGGCTGGGAGAGCTGAGTGGGATTTTTGAGGGGGGCTGCTGAAGGGTTTGGAAACGAGTGAGGTGTGGCCTTTCCCTGTTTCCAGATCCTCTCTTCATTCCCCATTGTCCCATGCATGGGACAATTCGTGCTCTCTTAGTCCTACCCCCGGCTAGGCACTGCCTGCCAGCACTCTTTGCGGTGAGGCTGGGCAAAGGACAGAGCCAGGAGGGGACAAAAAACCAGAGATTTCTCTTCTGGCTGCCAGGGAGGATGGGAAAAAGGATGAAGCCAGTGCTGGCAGCACCGGTGAGAGCCTCCCACTGCTCCCTCCTGCCCTGGCAGAGGGCTGTGGGATCTGGGAGCAGGGCTGACCTCTCCCCATCCCTCCCTCCACTCCATTCCCCGTGGCCCTGGACGAGGAGAGGCATCCCCCGCAGCCGGCCAGGCCTGGCTCCTGCCCCCTTTGCCCAAGCTTTGGACCAGCTCTATTCTCAGTTCAATCTCGAAATATTATATTCAGAATTACATAACTGAATTCATGTCTAATTTAGCCTAACCTCATCAATGATTAAACAATTAAACTTATTATTGCTCTTCAATCTAATCCAGGAGGCATCCTAATGAAATAGCACGTCTGGAAGAAATGGAAACAATTGAGCAGCTGCAGACAGAGGTCCAGAGGAAGGATGAAAACCCAACAATGGCATTTAATGAGCATCTGGGGGTTACCACTTCAAAGGGCTTCACTCTTTCAAGCTTCTCGGCTCCCTTGGCATCTTGCAGACAATATCATTATTAGCAGTTACCAATTGCTGGTTGTAAAGTGTGAAGTACAAATTAGCACAAACATTGTGTCGGAGGAGCTGAGGTGCTGGATCCTTCCATCTGCAGGTAATGGCCATTCCAATGCTCCAAACTGATGATGGTTTGGGACCTGGGTAGCAGAGATGGCCCTTCCTCCAGAGCAGCTCGGCTGTGAGCCCACGGAGTCAGCAGAAGGATTCAGATTTCGGGAGCCACCAGAGCACACCTACATCGCTGCAGTCGAGATCCATGTGGGAGCTGCTTTGATGTAATGGCAAATATTCAGTGATAAGGAATTACCAGTGAAGACAGTTCACCTATGGAGAATGCTGTTGCCCTTTTTCTGCCAGATTTTCTTGGCATGCTGTAACTCCTGTCTTTTCTCTCAGGCATTTTGGGGAGTTGGTCATTTAAGCACAGGGAAGAAAAATCAGTAATGTGCTACTCTGGCAAGGCTCTAAAGCTCACCTTCATTTAAAACCTGACACTAGTCCAACCAAAAGCAGGAAAGTTTTCATTAAAATATTGCCAAAACACAATTCATTATTTCAAAAGATCATATCCATGTTAAAAAAAAAAAAATCAATGCAGAATTGCTAGTGAAATCTCTACATCTCACACATAAAACTAACACGCCTTTTTCAAATTTTTTAGAAATATGGAGGAGGTTGAATTAAAATTCCTGGGCCAAAATGCCTCTTTAAATTTGTTAGTCTGTGTAACATTCAACCCACAGACTCTCATCACCAGCTATGATTAGACGCAGCCCAGGCAACAAATATTATTTGCATAGTTGGCATCAACAAAACCTGAACCTTTTCCTTTAGCTCACAATTAATGCCATCTAAAGCTAGTGCAGAGCATAAGGCTACTTCCTCTACGCATCTGGCTTCTTTTGGTTAAGTTTCATCCCAGTATTTCCTTCAGTCACATGGTATAATTATCTGATCTATAATTTACGCTGTTATCCAGAGCAGCATAAATAGTTTACTTTATTGCTGCAGGAGCACAGCATGTCCCGATAACATCAATATTTTATTTATCTGTTTATGTATGTAGTTATCTAGGTGCTCACTAAGTATGGAATTATTATAATAGCTGAGAATAAATAGTAACTGAAAAGAAGCAAAAATAAGACTGGAAACAAAATGTGTTCAAAATGGTGTCTGCTCTTTCTCTCCCTCTCCTGCCTGCCAAGAGCCTTAGAAAGAGAGTGTGTTCAGGGTATTTCCAAGAGCTAAACCCACCTCCATGATGTCAGAGAACGGATGCATTATTCTCATTAGTGGTGTCTCTCACATGTCCAGAAACTGTAATGACTTAACTGGCAGATCTGAACTGAACCACTTATATTTTCAGGGTTCTTAAAAGCAAATGAGACCCTTAAGGGTGTCGTTTTTAATCACCAGTTTCAATTCCATCATCTTGACAGTGATAAAAAGTGACACCCAAAACTGAAGCAAGAAAGATGGTTTGACAGGTTTCCTTGAGTTAAAAGGAGCTTCATGCAAACAGACATGTTTACCAGAAGTGAAACAACTTTCTAATTTATTAAAAAGTGATTCGGGTAATTAAACAAAAATTGGAAAATTCTGCGTTGGCTTAATTTTGTCGTAATACAGCAGGAGCATTAACAACCTCCGTCTTCTGACACATTACATAGTGATGGTAGCTTCTGAAGCATTTAGCTTTTAATGCGGATTCCAAGTTAAGTGGGCTAAATACATGCAGAAAGTAGCAGAAAATTTCAGAAAGTTTATGAGCCTGAGCCTGCATTGCTTCAGCAGATTCAATTCTGTGTGCAAATATATTATACGAATTGTTCAATCATATTTACTTTGGACGATATAGAAGGAAAAAGAAAGGTTATTCTCTGACAGATGGGAGAAGGAAGACATAATCAGCACTGATAACTTGCTATTCAGTTGTTCAGTTGTTGTCTCATCAACACAAAAAAATAAAATATGTGAATTGTAATGCAGGTATGGAACACTAACATCATCAGAATCACAGAATCACAGAATGTTAGCGGTTGGAAGGAACCTCTGTGGGTCATCTAGTCCAACCCCCCTGCCGAAGCAGGGTCACCTACAGCAAGCTGCACAGGACCTTGTCCAGGTGGGTCTTGAATATCTCCAGAGAAGTAGACTCCACAACCTCCCTGGGCAGCCTGTTCCAGCGCTCCGTCACCCTCAGAGGGAAGAAGTTCTTCCTCATGTTCGGATGGAACTTCCTCTGCTTCAATTTGTGCCCATTGCCCCTTGTCCTGTCACTGGGCACCACTGAAAAGAGTCTGGCCCCATCCTCCTAACACCCACCCTTAAGATATTTATAAGCATTTATAAAGTCCCCTCTCAGCCTTCTCTTCTTCAGGCTGAACAAGCCCAGTTCCCTCAGCCTTTCCTCGTAGGAGAGATGCTCCAGTCCCCTCATCATCCTTATAGCCCTGTGCTAGACTCTCTCCAGTATCTCCTCATCTTTCTTGAACTGGGGACCCCAGAACTGGACACAGTACTCCAGATGGGGCCTCACTAGGGCAGAGTGGAGGGGAAGGAGAACCTCCCTCGACCTGCTGGCTACTCTTCTCTTAATGCACCTCAGAATACTATTGACCTTCTCGGCAACCAGGGCACACTGCTGGCTCATGGTCAACTTGTCATCCACCAGAATTCCCAGGTCCCTCTCTGCAGAGCTGCTCTCCAGCAGGTCCACCCCAAGCCTGTATTGATGCATGGGGTTGTTCCTGCCCAGGTGCAGGACCCTGCGCTTGCCCTTGTTGAACTTCATCAGATTCCTCTGCGCCCAATTCTCCAGCCTGTCCAGATCTCATTGAATGGCAGCACAGCCTTCTGGTGTATCTACCACACCTCCCAGTTTTGTGTCATCAGCAAACTTGCTGAGGGTGCATTCTACCTCTTCATCCAGGTCATTGATGAAGAAGTTAAACAAGACTGGGCCCAGTACTGACTCCTGGGGGACACCACTAGTTACAGGCCTCCAACGAGACTCAGCACCGCTGCTGACAACCCTCTGAGTTCTGCCATTTAGCCAGTTCTCAATCCACCTCACTGACCACTCATCCAGCCCACACTTCCCAAGCTTCCCTAGGAGCATGTTATGGGAGACAGTGTCAAAAGCCTTGATGAAATTGAGGTAGACAACATCCGCTGCTCTCCCTTCATCTACCCATCCGGTCATGCCATCGTAGAAAGCTATCAGATTGGTCAAGCATGACTTCCCCTTGGTGAATCCATGTTGACTACTCCTGATAACCTTCCTTTCCTCCACTAGCTTGATGGCGACCTCTAGAATGAGCTGCTCCATCACCTTTCCCAGGATGGAGGTAAGGCTGGCCGGCCTGTAGTTCCCTGGATCCTCCTTCTTGCCCTTTTTGAAGATTGGAGTGACACTGGCTTTTCTCCAGTCCTTGGGCACCTCTCCTGTCCTCCATAGGATTATGTTACAGTCATATAACCTTGCTCAAAAATCACGTACCTTTTCCCTTGTACATATAGAAATAGGTTCTGGAACCTAATGATACTCATATAGAAATAGCAATGGGCAATTTCAACAATCATCTGCTGGATTTCTTCACTTTTATAGCTAATGGAGAAACAAGGGAGGAAAAGGTGCAGATTCAACATTGTAATGACAAATTGTACTGAACATTTTGGAGTCACCTGCTCAGCCATAGAGCTGATTGAAATTTTGAGTAATCAACTCATTTTAAAAAAATATCAGTAGCCAGTAAAGAAATGCAAAAAATCCACTTCTTTTAAAATAACTTCTCCCTGGGTCTTTTCTCTTCCACACCATTTTCTCAAGCTTCCCAAGTCTCAATTCACTTCCCTAGCTCTCCAGGTACTATAATACATTGTCACAACTCTTCTGTAGCGGTACATCATCTTTCTCGCCACTATATAGCCACACAAGAAAGACAGCATCCCTTAGTGGGACTGCTGTCATGATGTGATAGAAATAATTATAAGGATTGTTCCAAAAGGAAATTTCAACTCTCACAGCCCCTCACCTTCTCTTCAAGAAATAAAGGTGGTTCTGAAAAATGGAGTAATATGATTTATGTGCAATTTTATGCATTAGTTTTTTTTTTCATTTCACCTTCATTTTTCTAATATTAAATTGTGGTGTTACTATAGCTTATGTAATATAAGGTGTTTAAAGAGCAAATGAGTACCAAAGGGAGCAGTTTTCTGGGACATATCTATAGGCTTGTGCAGGTAGCACATCAGTACTATAGTTAGCATTACACAGTTCTCATCCCACTAGAATATTCAAGTACCAAGTACTGTAGGCAGCAAAATAGCTGCCCTGCCAGCAGGCCATTAGTTAGCTCACGCCAGACACTACATACATGATTTGTAGCAGGCTGATACTTTAAGAGTAATGATAAAAAAGCTAGTGATGAAAATAAGGGCCAAATGGTCCCTCACTAGGAACTGATGGCTTTTGCAAATACTTCGGTCAGCTAGCCTGATGTGTTGGATTAAACCTGACACCAGCTGGACAAAATACTGAGGTCTCAGGTAAAATAATGTGATTTATTTAAAGAAAGATAAGGTACAACTTCTCTAATGTCAGAGCAGAGGACCTGTTTGAACTCCAGTCTGAGAGACTTCACCACTACGAGCTACACCTTGGTCTGCCAGTGGATCAGTTCAAATTGTTTTTAACTGTAGCCTGGGCATACTCAGGAGCCCCAGTCTTGAACAAATCCTTCATGCAGTAGGTCCTACAGAAATACACAGACAGCAGAGAGACCTGAGTCCATTCTGTCTGGATTTTCCCCCAAACCAGAAATGCTGGTGCAAAACCATCCCAGTAGAAATTAATCATTTCGGTTGGGAAGCTGTCTGATTGCATCCATAAAGTCCCACACACATACATGCACTGCACACATGGATGCAGAGGCACGTGTTGAAAACTGAAATCTAACATTGTCAATACTGAAGATGGGGCAGGGAAGTGAATTAAAATTATTAGGGGGACATGTTCTATTATAGAAAACTGAGGATATATAGAAAAGCAAAATCTGACCCTCACACTTACAGGATTTTTTCAGCTGCCGAGGCAGAGCTCAGCCTCTGTGCAAAACAATGGTGCTCAGACTGCAGCAACAACTGCCACACAATTGATGGGCTCAGGAATAACAAGCTGACGAGTAGGTTTGGCATCCCCACAGCCAGCGCCCGAAGATTTATTGCGCTGTAGTGGTGCATGTCAGTTTTCTTTATCACTGGAGTCCCACAG